TTTCCTGACTTGTTAATTTTAGCCATTCTGACTGGTGTGAGGTGGTATCCCCATAGAGCTTTTCCTATTGCCTTTTCATTGACTCTTGCTGAGTGATAAAAACGAAATTCTGTAAAGGGCTTTGAAAACCATGCATATTGCAATTCCTGCAAATTTCAAATACTAATCAACCGCGACTATAAAGAAAGAACTACTGCAATGAATATTGCTATAGCATGTTGAGTCTCAAGCCATTATTAATTCATTGAAAACTTTTTTTTTTCCCCTTAAGATTATGGATCCTAAAAAGTACCAGATAATGAAATTCCTGAGATCAGAGTTTTTGTTTCAATCGTGGGAAGACTTAATCTGATCTACCCCTGTGTGTGCATCTTCCTGGGATGGTACGGGACAGACCCCACTTTGCCCCCTGAATGAATAGTTCAGAGGATGTTACAGACCAGGGTAGCATGTGCTTGAACATGTTGCCTTTACATGGTGGCTTAAGAAAAAAGAAGACCTGGGATTACAGTAGTGTTGTTGTTTTTTTTTAAGGTTTTTATTTATTTATTTATTTAGAGAACACAAGCAGGGGGAGTGGGAGAGGGAGAAGCAGGCTTCCCGCTGAGCAGGGAGCCCGATGCGGGGCTCGATCCCAGGAGCCTGGGATTATGACCTGAGCCGAAGGTGGATGCCTAACCGACTGAGCCACCCAGGTGCCCCTACCGTAGTGGTTTTAAGCAAGTGAGACTCCTAACGTTTTTAAGAAGAGTAAAATGACATCTTCTTATTTAGGTTATTTAGAAATTATTTAGCATGCTCATCTGGAAAATGTCTTCATTTGCTTTCCCATTTGTAATTACATCTCGGAATATCCAGTAGCCACCATGTTCAGGAGGGGCGAATGATATCCTTTCTGAACTTTCACCTCTTTTTAGTCCTTAGACATAAGTCAGTCATTTCCTAAATTCTCTTTGGGCAAGAACGGCAAGAGTCTTTGTAGGACATCACAGACAAAAAACAAAAAACAAAAATCTTATTAAGAGAGGGGTGCTGCTTCTCCAGGTTTGCTCCTCCAGACACCCAGATCTTATTCTTCTAGTTGGGTGACGTAGAACCAATTCAGATATGTATCTAATAATTATACCAAGGGGAATCCTTTATTTTGGAATGGAGCATAAATAACTAGAAGATTCACTGTGAACGGCTGCATACACATTGTGTGAGGAGAGTTTGCTCTACTGCAGCCAGAAGTTGGCAATAAATTGCACCTCAGGATCCATGCTGTCAGGCCTGGTTTCTCTTCCCTAAGCAACTGATGAAAATGCTTCACCCGATCTCCTGCATGACCTTCGTCTGTGGGTCCTTGATTCACTCTGGTTGCTTGGCAGCCTGGCAATGCCCCTGTCTTATTTTAGGAACTTTGTTATTAGGTCTGTACATTGTTTTGTCCATAAATTACTAAAAGAACAGTCCTCTGAAAGTAGGATGATTAAGTGGTTAACCTTTGGAGTCTGAACTCAGACTGCTGGGTTTAAATCTTGGCTCCCGCTTGCTAGCTGTGTACCATGAGCAATTTGTTAATGTCTCTGTCTCTTTATTTCTAAAACTGGGTTAATAACAGTGCTACACCATAGGCTATTTTGAAGACTACATTAGATGAAGTAGGTTAAAGTTGGTATAGGACATCAAAGACTCCAGTTGAATCGTAGCTATTATAACTAACTTCTGCATCTTTATGATCTGATGGCTAAGAAAAACTGCTTCCAGACAGTATCTTCTGCAAAGTGCTGGCCATGCCCACCTGCTGTGGCTCCTGCAGTCTACGAGTTTCTGCTTGCACTCTTTCCCTTTGGAAACTATATCATCCTGGGAACTTCATGGCCCATCTGAATCCTATGGTCATGGAAGTTGGGTGGAAACCTTCTTTGAAGATGAGTCACTGACTCCTCTGAGTCCAAGAAATAGTGCAATTTTGCAGAGGCCTGGAAGCCCTGACCTGCCCTAATGGACATCTTGCCCATCTTCCCTCAGCCATAATAGCTCAGGAAGAGCACAGGACTCTGCTGGTTATTTGGTTTAAGCTCTATTTTTGGTAGGCAACATGTGTGAACTCCAAATGTTTGTTTTAAGGGATTTGTTTCATGTCTAGTTCCCTGGGTGGAACATTTATTGGGAAGTGATCTCAGAAACAACACATAAAGCAGAGGGACAAAAGCAGGTCTGGGCAGAGGGGGAAGCTGAGTCAGAATACAGTCACAACAAAGACCTTTGCTGATCCCACCGGAAGCCCTGGAGCTGGTGTGGCTCTTTGGAGTTGTCCTGTGTTGGGGTGAGGGGGCCAGGCCCTTATAGCCCCTGCATCACTCAGTCACTGGATACTGCGGCTCCTGAGAAGGGGACAGGACTGTGGGTGAGGTGGCTTCCTTCAGCTGAGGGCAAAGTCACTTGGTATCAGAATATGATCAGAG